TGTGTAATGATTGTAGCCTACTCGTCTCCACTGTTTTTTTTAAAAAAGACTCCATATGAAGTCAACTTAAAGTCTAACAAAGTATTTCCTAATAATAAACAGTCGACTTACCCTTCCCGTTATGTAAGGCGAGGCAGGCGGTAACGAGGAGTAGGATCAGTTTCATCCTCAGTTTTGTTTTTTCTCTGACAGACAGAACACCAAGTCAATATAAAGGCACTGCTCTCCAAACTGAAGCTTGTTGTTGCGAGGTGAACAATAAGTGTGAACTGCCTTCAGACAGCCAAACTCCCCCTGAAGAAGAGCTCAGCCCTCTTGAGTGCGTCATGGTTTCCTGAAGTCTCCTCTAGTGCAGAAAATGACTGAACATCCTCAGTGGAAACTTTTTTCATTAACCGCCTCAAATATCAGACATCAGGTTTTGCGCAACTGAGGAAATACCAGAAAACAAGTTGGCAAGATTTAATCTGTGTTTTCCGGATAACGACGACCGAGAGGAAGCGACAATTTGTCTTATTGGTTCATTTTGCGTTGAGATAAGAAGGCGATAGTATCTATTTGAGAGCTTCTGCTTTTACGTGAATTCAATTCGGCTTCATTGAATTTCTCTTCAGTTGATTGCAAAAGCCAGTTCGCTTTAAGTTTGCTTTATTTCTTCAGGAGGTTGAGACACATTCAGCAGCAATAAACCACAACAGTGTCAACTTCACTGACTAACACAAGGGAAAGCAATCGGTCCATTATTATGTGGGGTTGTACTGGAACCTGGTGTGGGAGTCCCAACAGGTCTCAGAGGGTTGCGATGCTGTCACCCCAAACTCCACAGCAACAGCCTCATCCTCTAAGATACCACCAGCACAGCACCACTGCAGCGTCCTCTCTGTGCAATGTGTGTGGGTGCGTGTGTGTGTGTGTTTGTGTGTAAATGTCTGGCTGGTTGTGTGTGATGTATTGTACTTCAGTGAATGCTTTTGTGTGTCTGCGTCTGTTTTTCATTGTGTGTATTTGTGGATGTATGTGTCTCCACATGTCCTACAGATTCACGCATGCATTGTTGTTGGTGGTTGAATGTAATCAAGTACATTTACTCAAGTTCTGTACTTAAGTACAGTTTTGAGTAACTTTTTGTGATATTTGGAATTTGCTTTATTACATGAGAAATATTGTACTTTTTACTCCACTGCTGTTCATTTATTATATTAATTATTACTTTAAAATATATATAAATGTGTATTTTGTAATTTAAACTATCCAAACAGTGTATAAAAAAGTTAAAATAAAAATTGACCACATTACAATACTGTTTACATTTGAATTGATATCCATAATTTACTTTTGACACTTTAAGTACATGTTGCTGATAATAATTCTGTACTTTAACTCAAGTAAAATGTTGAATGTAGTAACTGACTTTAGTCTATCTGTGTATATCCTGTGGTGTTAAAGATCGACGTACTTTCGCCACCACTTGTCTCATGTTGATGTTCATGTGATGTCAGACTGTGCTGGTAAACACAAGTTGAGACATTTCAAGTGTCACAACCTGGTACGTCTGGGTGCTTTGGGCATATGAAGTATATTTTTATATTAGATATATTTATATATATTTAGATTCTGAAAAAAAGCATCTAATATTTCTAATGCAGGTGTTTGGGAAAAGAGGGATGGGCTTTTCTTAAGTTTTAAAGCTAGGTTATAACAGTATTCACAATTAACCTTTGGCCTGTTTAGTGGTTTACATAAACCATGTGCTGTGGCGTTCAATGGTACAGCCTGTCATGAGGACAGTCAGGTTGTGTGATCACAGTGAAAATGGACAGACAACAAATCAAAAAATTGACTGTAAACCTTTAGGTCATTTTATGATTTCAGAGTAGTAAAGGGTGGCTTTAACATCTCCTGAACCCCAGTATTTATTTCAATTACCCCCTCAGCGGTGTCATCATTAGAAAACAGTCTACAGTGATATGTATATCATGTGTATTCTGTATCTGTTCCTTCCAACTCTTAAAATATCACTTTTATATTGAACAAAATATTCTTACCCACTTTTAGCTGGACCAGAACATTATAGAAAATGTCAGTTCATTTAACACAACGTTATACTCATCTTCCTGTATTTAGTAACAGCTCTTGAAAAATGTGTTCTACACTCAATTTAAAGATAAATAGAAGATAAAACTGTTGGTTTCATCAGTTTTCCTGCACAACATGCATCCGTACTGATGCACCTGCTGCAGAGTTACAGTCCATGAACACTGTAATTGTCAAAGAGCATTGGTTGCATCAGTTACTAGAGCCATTTTGGAGCTCCAAATTCCAATGATGGGAGGAACTGCACTGACAGCTTCTGTGGTTTTGTGTCACATTTTGTGAGAATTAGCAGTTTAATCTCACATCACCATCTCACTGCACCTTTCAGCGTTTTTCAGAGGGTGTAATGATGCTGCACAGCCTTAGCTTTTCTTTATGGTACACAGGCCAAATTAATACTCGAGTAGCACTATTTTTTAAAGGGTAGGATTGAATGAAATCAAAACCAAATTAATAAAAATGTTTCTCCATCTTTTTACATTTTATTTCTGTCTGTGTGTATGTGGTGTGTATGGACAACTGTAGTTTATGATGTTCGGATGGCCTTTATCTGGTTCAATCAGACCCAGTGACCTGTGTGTATGTGTGTGTGTGTGTGTGTGTGTGTGTGTGTGTGTGTGTGTGTGTGTGTGTGTGTGTGTGTGTGTGTGTACATGTTAATGTCAGCACTCTGTTAAATATTTGTTGAGTTCTTGTACAACAGAACATTGAATAAAACTGCATTGTTCACTTTGACGGCCGTCGTGTTCTTTCTTACTCCTCTTCTTATGCTTCCTCTCCTCCTTCTTGTTCTGCATCTCTGTGCACTATTTCTTGTCTGTCAGACATCAAGAGAAGAAGATCCAGAGAGCGAGAAAACAGTTTTTTCAGCTGAATTATCGGTATGATGCTGCAGGAAGTGGTAACATCAGTTGCTATCATTTTCCTTCAGGAAATGACACACTAGCCTGCCCAACCTCGCCTCCACACACACACAGTAAGTGACATATTTATGAGGCACATTTACCCACTTACACTCATCACTGCACACACAGCATGTTTTCAATCAGCGTTCCTCTTCTCTCCTCTACAATATCAATACTCAAGAAATTTCAAATGCAGCAATGCCTACCCAACCCCTTATACCTGATAATTGTGTTTGATGTATATGTAATTCATTCTATAAAATCAGCTTTTATAGTTGACATGGTTTCCATCTCCACACCCTGTCAAATTATGTGGGATTCAAGTCTATTGTCTGAGTAACTTTGTGTCAGTAGAGGCAGCTCTATTTTCACACTCTCAGAAACACATACAGTATATCCAAACACAACAGGATCACTTCATCAAACTGTACACAAGACTTGTCTTAGGCTGTTGTGAGGGGGGAAGTGGACCAGTGACTGATAACCACAATAAGCTACTGTAATCAGTTTTTCTTTGAAGAAATTTAAGGCTAGATGTATTTGTGCAGCTGTATGTGGATTGTGTTGTCTCTTCCTAGAAGTGTGAATCAGAATGTAACGGTTTGACAATAGTTACTTACTGTTGGGAATTGTAAACTGTAAAGAAAATATATGTCAGCATTTTCATGGATTATGATCATTATTATATTATATTGTTTTATGAAGTAATCTCATAGAGAAGCTTGAGTACAGAGGAAGAAATAGGTGCAGAGATAAGACACACAACAAACATTACCAGTCACACACACACACACACACACACACACACACACACACACACACACACACACACACACACACACACATACAAACAGCATCAGAAACAATCATAAAAAGGTCCAGGTTTAAATAAATCCAATGGCATGAGACATTCAAGTTTTAAATTTATTTTATTCTAAATTTACTCACATACAGCAAGCACATCTGTAGTTATTTTTGGTACGTGGCAAGAAAATCTACAAAATTGTACAAGATCTGCAAAAAACACTCAGGAGTTTTACTTTAGATTCTGCTTAGATATGCAAATATAAATGCAATATTTTACATCTCTATGTGTATTCTCGGAAAGGGTGGGATTTCCCTTAAGCTCTTTTGGCGCAGTTCTCATTCACACCAAATTAGTTTTAAGTGTCTTGTGCTAAGAAGGTATGTGAATACACATTTTGACAAGCATCAGAAAGGTTAGTGGGAACATAAATGAAAGCAGGAATTGCAGGTTTTGATCCACTGAAATTGTTTCCATTGCATGGATAAACCATAAATAATGTTTGGTAACCGCATTCTACATCACAATCAGTATTTGATTAAATTAAATTAAAAAAGGTTTAACAATACAAAGAACCAGTTTCACATATTGGACTAATAAACAGGCTACGGACGGGTGGAGATGGGTGACAAATGAAAGAAAAAACTATCAAAGTGTATGCATGGAAGGTCTATATAAGCGATGTTTCTCCACTCATTTGTTACGATATTTCCTTCAAATAGTTACTACAAGATAAAAGATTTGCTTAACCTTAGGACACTTGGACCCAATAGATCAGAGACATCGTATGTCCTGCAGCGGTACAGCTTTAGCTCAAAGCCTAATTCACCTCAGAGAGGAAGCAGCACAGAGTACGGCAAAGGTGCATGGCCTCATGGTTAGCTTGAAATCACGCATCACCCCACACACATCTGACCTCATAATATGAGAAATGTGCAGGACACAACTGGGTGACAAACTCCCAAAACTGTTTGACACATTTCTCTGCAATGTCATTTGACAGACTTGAAAAAAGGGTTCCTAAACTCTTCTGGGCCACAAACTGAGACAATTTTAGCCTTAATTAAATCATTCAAGTAATTAAGTAACTAAATGAACTTGATACTTCTATTGTATAGAGATATACAAGAGAAATTACCAATCTTACACCCAGTTTCTTATTTGAAGGTAAAGAAGTACATATTGGTAATGTGACATAAGTGTGTATTACTCCGTTTATTATCATTACATACAGTATTTACAGTACATACAACAGGATGACATTGTGATTCCTCAGAGGAAGGAAGCAAATACAGATTCAATTTGTTTTGTGAGTGGCATTACAACTTGCATTTTAAGACAACCGTGTGTGGTATAATGATAAATATGAAGCTGGCATCATGCAGATTATGATGTCTATTAAAGTCCACTTAATGGCATTTCCGACAATTCACACAATTGTTCTGATAATTTCCACAACAAACATCTGAGTTGTAAGAAGGAACAGTGACCTGTCAGTAGTACAAACTGCGTCAACTCTACTATCTGTACTGCTATTACCGCGGTTACACTAACCATGGTTACAGTAGGTTTAATATTTGTTTCACCATCAGACATAAAAAGCAGCTGAAGTAAAATAATTTTAGAGTTGCTTTACAGAAAATAAGCCATGCTAAAGGGAAACGTATTTATTTTTCAACCTGTACCCCATTTTGCCCATGTTTTTCATCATACTAACGTTACTAATGGGTGCACTAATTTTTAAAAGAGGTCCAGTATTGAGCGACAGGGCCGCAGCTGTGAAACTGGCTGCAGTGTAATCCTATGGGGCAACTGTGCACCGTCAATGAATGTCCACTAAAAATACTTCTTTATGCCACTGACAGGCTGAGTTGCTGGTCTCCCACTGCCTCGATCCGTCAGTTTGTTTGTATTACTGTGAGACTGTGGTGTTTTAACACATTAGTTTGGAATAACCCTTTAAAACACCATCAAAAATGGTTGTCCACATCAATCACAAAAAACCCCAGGTTGAAAAATATAAATGTTTCCCTTGAAATGAAAACCAATATGATTAACATTAGAAAACAAATATGAATCAGACTGGACATTTTCATATTCATCTTGAAGACAGTATATCTTATGTGGTGTCTGAATTAACCACAACTGTTACTACACAAAGGAGAGCACATATGTACAGCGTGTAATGTGTTCAAACGGTCTTGTGAAAGCAGCATGCCCACTGCACAAAAACAGGCCACCAACAATACAAATAAGCAAGGAAGTCAGTCAATCTTGCCATCCAGTTTCTCTAATTGTTTGGAGTGTCCATTGACTATAAAGGTGTTAAACTGACAGATTGACTGACTCATTTGGATGTACTTTACACCGTCAGTCAGTGAACAGTGCCATCCTTCAGTTGTTTAAAGCCATCCGTGCTTTGATGCGGTTGATTTTGAGAGGGAGCAGGTCGACCATCTCCTTACTGAGCTCCAGCTCTGTCTCCACAGCGGCCGCCGCCTCAGGGTGGGCCTCACAATACTGTGCCACATATCTAGAACAAGAAACAACATGGCAGCTGTTAGCATGTTTACTGTAGAGCACACCCCTCATTCCATTTATTTGAACTGCTTCCAACTAAATCCTTTCTATTCCACCAAATACACCTCTGTCTTCCATTCTATTTTCTTTGTGCTTCTATGTTAACATCAACCTATTACTGTCATACTATATATAGTACTCCTATTGAGAGCACACCTTTCATTATGTGACCCAGAAAGTGTTTGGATGTATCAGAAAATAACAAATTCATACTTGTAGTTTTCCAGAGACTTGTTGAGATTGTCCAGCTGAATGGAGGGCAGAGAGCAAATCAGCCGGCTGTAAAGTCGGGCCACTCTGAAACGGGCTACCAGAGCCGGTCTGAGCACCTCCTCCTCCAGGTGCTCCGGAAGCTTCCCCTCTGGAGAGCACAGTGAGTCCAGGAACATCTGGAAGTATCTGGGGAGGAGAACAGAGAATTTCAAATAATTAATATTGAAGAGTAGCTGGACAGACACACACTTCTTTCGTACGCACATGTATACTCACTTGATAGAGGCAGAGCAGAGACTGTTGAATTTCTTAATGGTGTGGTTATCTAGAGACTGTGTATCTGCCTGTCTATTGGCCAGTGACAGTTTTAGGTCCATCATTTCATTGTAGGTCTCAGCCAACTCAAACATCAACTGTCTGCGGATCAACAGATAGTACTGGGCGTTCAAGTCTGTAACGAAACAGAGGGAGTCAGATTTGATCAATTATGTCACCTTGCATGGACACTCGGGTTGAACACAGTAATTTGTTTTATCTATTTTTAATGTATTCTATTTCGAAAAGAAGAAACAAAAAAACTCAAGGACAAACTTACCTATGCAGATTGGCTCAAGCATGTCAACCCGTCGCTTGTGCATTTTGCAGCGCCGCTCCAGATCCTCTTCAAAGAAAGCCAGGCCCCGGAACAGAGCACTGTGATCCTGCAGGATCTCGATGTGGTCTGTCACATAGCCGTCCATCTGAAAGAACTCCTTGGCCTACAAGAGTGAATGGATGGAGGGATCATTTACCATGTTTAGCAGTTTACACTATATGGGTTTAATGCTTTGGGCATATTTTTTAACATGTAAACCTGTCTGGATGAAAAAATTATTGGCTTTCAATACAAAATACTCCTTAGGACAACGCTGCATTAATAAAAGCTTAATATAATTAACTAGAATAGCATCATATTTACGACACCACGCGGTACATTTGCTTCTTGAGTTGAGTTTTTAATGACAATATTGTTGAGTTGACTTTTGAAACAGTAAGGTTGGCACCTTTTTAGTGTAGTTGAGAACATCTGCAACTGTCTACTTAATACATTCACAAAAGTGTCAAGTCAGGTTTATTTGTACAATAATAAGGTACAACATCTCTATGTGATTCACAGCCCACCAACTGTACTGGGAAAGGTTAAAGTATCTGTTTTTATTCGGTAGCCTGATTTTCTTTTTTGTTACATTCACTTTAATATTCACTTATCTGCTAGAATGGTAACTCTAATAACTCACCTACCTGTGATTATTAAATTGGGCTCAACTGCTGTGTGTGTGTATGTTTACTTGTATAAGTATAGGGTCTAAGCTGATAAAATGAGTCTGTCCAACCCAGTTTCATTGTGTGTGTGTGTGTGTGTGTGTGTGTGTGTGTGTGTCTGTGTGTGTGTGTGTGTGTGTGTATATTGTGCATACCTGTGTGACATAATTTTGTCCCACCAGAAATATGGCTCTGGCCTCAGTGAACTCCAGTGGGGACAAACAGTTCACCTAGAAAACAAAAAGCAGAGATTGGGGTCATCTATTACAATGGCACCCGCTGTATTTACTGTCATATTTGTCCTCAGTTGGTTATGCTTATGATATATGGAGTAATACTATCACATCAAAATCTTGTATTATTAAAACAATTATAAAAAAATAGCTACCGTTATAACGTATTATCAATAAAGGGAAGCATTTCTGCTGCTACTGACACAGATAATCTAGAATTAGAAGTAGCAGCTGTACAACATGCTCACAAACACAAAAAACATTTTAGTAACACTAGCAGTGGTATCAGTCACAGAATATAGACCTTCTCTTCCAGGCTAGCAATGGAGTCGAAGGTGTCTTCAGAGCCAAACAGCAGAGCATTCTTCCGGCCCTTCTCTTCCTCCTCCTCCTCCTCCTCCTCACGTCTTCTCGCTCTCTTCAGCTCTTCTTGGCGATCAGTATCCAGCTCCCCAATGTTGTCCTGGTCACAAACCCACATACAAACACATTTTAAGACACACGCATTATAGTTATGTAGATCTAAGCTCAGATACACAACAGGTAAACAGTAACTGAGATATGTAAACACACAGATATACGAATACTCTACATTCAAGGTTTGGACATAACAAAAACAGGAGAGTTAAAGTGGTAATACTTAAAAATATTTTAATTTAAGTGCTACATCTTGGGCGCAAACTTATTTTCTGCTAATAAATTTGAGGTTTTTATGGGTGTGCTCTTTCCTTCTCCCATAGTGGCCATCACTGTTTGTATGAGAGGTGTGGACTTGAGTCTCATGACTTGAGGCTTCAGTCACATGTTGTACTGGAGTATAAATATTTTTAACACCACACATACAATCACGCAGTACCTCCAGCAACTTCTTAGCATCCTGCAGGAGGTTGAGACAGTATTTGATCCAACATCTCGCAATCTCTGCCCTCTTCTGTCTGAGCTGTTCCCTGCGCTCACTCTCTGTCTCACCTGGGTCGGACAGAAGGAGAAGATGTTAAGATATGTAACGATGAAGTGAGAGGCAGTCAGGAGGAAGGGTTTGTCACACAAGTGAAGAAATGCTTTGCAACACAGCTCTTTCCTGTCTGACTCAACGCACTTGACTACAGCTGCAGGATACACAGGAAATAAGCAAATACATACAGTATGCTTTTTTTTATGCATATAAATGAAAGGTTTGGATAGATACTTACTCTCCTGTGCTGCGGCCTCAGAAGGAACCTCTCCTGCCAAACCTGATATGACAGTAGCTGCTGAGAGGCAATGTCTTCCTTCCATGTATCGGCCCTGGAATCATTAAATGCACCTCTCATTACTTACACTAAATCAATTTATTGTGACAGCACTAGCGAACACTTGGTGCAGCTCTAACAAAATGTATCATTATTACAATCAAAATTCTTGTCATGTTATCAAACTGATTTGACTTCATGTCAAAAATTTTAATCACAAGTAAAACATTTCCGGATCAGTGAAAATGTGTAAAAAGCAAAGCAAAACAGATGCAAAATTATTTTAGATTAGAGGTTTTAAATCAATTGTTTCCAATCAATTTAAATACATTTCTAAACTACCTTAGTGATGTAATACTGTGATAGTGTAGCAGCATTGAGAGCCCACTCCATTGGACTGAACTGATTTAACTTCAATTGTCTCTGCAGGGTAGTGTGGCAGTAGGTGGCAGCACGCTCAGTCTCGCCTGGGAGACAAAACACTAAAGTTAATATGACTATCATCAAATAGAGCAGAACATGAACATACTAAGACTCCAGCTTCATTATATTAACATAGATAAATATGAATTTGTAAATGTCAATAGATACTATGCAACTTCAAGAGACTCCTCATTAGAATAAAGTGGATGTTAAAGGATCAAAGATACATTAAATACATTTTTAAGTATCTAATTTACACAAACCACTAAATATATACTGAATGCTGTTCTACTTATTTGACTGAAACAAGATCAGACTCACCAAGGTTTTTATAGACTTGGGCAAGATAGTACATGGTATGGGTATAAGCCAACTCAAACCTGAGAAAGGAAAATTGGAGAAAGTCGAAGGGAGAATGGGTAAGACGGGCAGAATATAGCGAAGAAACATAAAAAAAAAAAACTAAAGCCAGAGTTTGCTGCATGAATAACCACTATCATGCAAACTTTGGGACAAAATAAACATGTAGTAAGTCTGTGATTGTACATGTGTGGCCTCTGTATGGATGACTGGAGTTTACGAGTTACCTCTTGGTCCTGTCCTGATGTGTGAGCAGCTTCTCCTCAGTAGTAAAGTACTCTGTCATATCAGTGGGAGGACTCCCATCCTGTGAAAGACAGAGAAGAAAACACATCAACTGTGGCTGCTGATAAAAAGGATTCGACCCTTGTAATGTAAAATTGCAGCCATGCTGGTTCCACACTCTCGCTGCAAGAAGCTAATACTTCTCAGTTAAATTTGTAATTCTCTTTTGAGTGCTGGTGTGACTGACACACATTTTGGTCAACACTGCATACAAAACTGCTACCCTTTTTGCTGTCTAATGCACTGTATTCACACTAATTTGAGAGTAGGGATACGTTTTAAGGATAATGTAGCAACCTAAATAATGCAGAGAATGCAGAAAAATGTAATGTCCACAGCATGTACGTGATTTTCTGTTTTAAATATACAACAATGCAATGTTCTGCCTTGGCTCCTGACAAGACAGGTACATTATCTCTCACTAATCTCAGTTCCCCACATCGCCATTGTCAAGTGTTTATCATGAGTCATATGATGGACTAGCAGTGAGACAAAAGAAAACAAATCACACAGTTGGTCTGTATCCCCACTCCTCCTGTAGCAGTCATGGTTACAGTCTCTCCTGCCCAGTCAACCACATCAATGCACCAGCAGCTTCAGTAACCAGTGACACAGGAAACCGACCTTACCTCCTTCATATAACGCTGGTAGATGTATTCTGCTGTTTCAAGGAATCCCTGAGCTGTCTCCGTCTCATCGCGGCCTGCCCAAAGGATGCCCAACTGGTTCTACATAACACAAATTGATTTGCATAAGCAATAACTTACTCTGTTTACAAGGCTTTATAATCACCCTGCTGGATGTGAAGGACTGTGATTCGTGGGAATAACTAGGATAAAGCATAAATAGTTTGATATGTGCAAAGAAGGGGAGTGGTGGTAGTAGCTGTGGTAAACACAGGCCTAGACCGCTCCAAGAAATGACGTTATTGATGATGCCATTGCCAATTTAATTAGGGTTATAACACTATTATAGTCAGTTAGTTCGTGGTGGTTTATTCGTAGTAAACATAATTGTTTATTTAGAAATGCTGTTTGGGCTTAACGTTAGCTATAGTAAGCATGGCTGTTTGTATACAACTTGTGCTAATGTCTGGGGAAAGTGACAGCCTGGTTATAAAGGTCAGTCAGTCAGTGTTATAGTATTATTGGAGGTAACAGACAGACAGACAGATAGACAGACAGACAGACAGACAGACAGATACCCTGACATGGATGAACAGCGACACATTTTCGGATGATACTCTGCATCTCTCCAGCAGTTTCATGCAGTTCATCAGATGCTCCTGCCCGGCTGACAGCTCCTCTGTGTCGATATGGTTGACGCCCAGATAGTACTCAATGGCCCCGAGTTTAGCGGCCCGCAGCCCGGCTGGCGAGTCGCCGCTGAAGCCCTGACCGAACACATCCTCCCTCTGCCCGTCCACTGGCGGCTCTATGGGCCGCTGGTCGCCGCTCTCTCCGCTGCTATCCTCTTCACCGTCGACGGCCTCGAAACTCTTCAGCGAGCAGTATATCTCTCTGAGGAGCTCCCTGGCCTTGTATTTGGACCGGAACGGGTCGTTTTCTGGGTCATTTCGTGATTCAGTAAGGTTTTGGGCGTTGGTGAATTTGTCGCAGATAGCTCTCCAAACATCACTGCCGAGGGACGCCATGTTGGTCTTCTTCTTCGTGGTGGCGACTGCAACTGTCCTTGTTTTACTGCCATCTGCTGGAATTCGGTGGGTTATCTCTTACCATGTCAAAGTGTCTCCAGCTGTGCTATTCCCACAAAAACCAGACAACCATTTCTTGCCCAGTAAGTCAGTATCAGTCCATCTTATTTACTTGAATAATTTGAACAATAAATTGTGTCCCCAAGGTATCAGTTATAAATAAATAAATTCAATACTCACTAGTATTGTAGCTCACTAATGTACAATTTTGAGGTACTTGAGTATTTCCATATTTTTCAACATTACTGTATTACGCTACAGTTCAAATAGTTAAATTTTACTCAACTACATATATCTGACAGTAACAGTATAGTCAGTGGCTACTTGTAAATGAATATATTCAGTTTATAAATTATAATACATTGTAATCGATTAAACTATCCTTATTGAAAAGATGTGTTTGGTGTTTATTTAACAAGGACATTGGGTTGCAGAGCCAAGTGTTCAGTGTAAATACAAAGAAGTGGCCTCCTTGACATTACCTTGGTGAACTATCTGATATTGTAAAGGTTACCTGATCCAAACAATGACCATGAAACAAGACTTAAGAGACCAACAGGAATCAAATTAAAACTCAAGTTAATGAAAAACAATGACTCACTCTGAACTGTGTTCAAGTTCATTATATCCAGTTTATTTTCACAAACCCAGAGGATCAAATCATTAATCAGGGAAAAGTAATGTGGATTATACAATGTCAATAAATTAATGTGAATGACATATGACAAAAACTCACAGTACATGTTTGGTCAGCACTGACAGAAGCAGCTTGTCTTGCCCAGTCATGGAGGACTATATGCTTTCATTCTGATTGTACAGCTGTACAGTGTGGGCAGCTTCACCACATAAAAAAAGACAAATGTATTTATTTTGTGTGAGTTAATCATCTGTTTAAATAATCATCATTCATTATGCTGTAAAAAAAACCATGTCAAATTGCATCTCTTGCTCCACAGCATAACAAACTAAAAGCTTTGCTCTGTAGGTGTGTGTCCTCTATGTTTAAGCAAAGGTTAATGAGTGAAAGTCCATATGCTAGGCCGGTGATAATTTGCCATGGTGTGGACATACTTGCACAAATGGACCTCAGGCTAAATTCTCTATGAAATACCATTAATATTTCAATTACTAAGCAGAAAAGAAAGTAATAAAAATATTAATGCTGATGACCTGAAGTTAGATGATTAGTAAATAAGGATTTATTCAGCCTAGTTTCAAAGTGCGCAACAGCCAATGGATCCAGTGAGCAAGGCATATAGCCTTCAGGCTTGTAAGCTGAGTGTACATTCACCCACATTATATTTTTGTGTGGCAGGTTGAATACTGCAAAAATCTAAAAATAAATTACAGCAGTTGACCTTCATTCTTGGAGGAAACTATCTGCACTGTTCTGTTTGTGTAGTAAAAAGTGACTAAAACTTCATAATGGTGATCTGTCAGGTTAGAAAATGGTGCCACGGTTTTAATCATCAATTAAGATGTTTAGATGTATGGGTTTTGATGTCCAGCTTTAGGAGTCTGCTGAAGCTGCATGGTGCCTCTCTGCCACTAGGATTTTATCTTCTTCTCCATGCTGAAATGATATAGAAACAGTCAGTGTGCATACAATTCTGTTTTATTCCTTCATTTAAAAACTTTTTTCTTTAACCTAGGTTTAATTATCCTAAATCTCCCTACCATATCACATTCTGAAGGCATGCTACTCCGAGTTTTCCTTTGAGAATATTGCTCTTAAGTTTAGTCATTGATGAAATGTTGATCTGGGTCAAAAGTCACGGTGGCAACATAAAGATCAGGTTGAAAATAACTGAAAAGACGCTAATATTTTTGGTCATTATTGTCATCACAAATAACATGCAAAAACAAAAAAGGAAGACCTGTTTTAAAAGTTAATGACAAAGCAAATGGTATAATAGTAGCCTACTAAGCCACCTACATAACATCACTGATATTTCTTAAGTGTTGCAAAGAACATGCAGTGGAATTATATTTTGATACCTGATCCGTTCATTATGACAACAGGGGGAAAAAATTAATACAATGTTGCTTACTTGTATTTGATGAGACGGCTTCCCTGGATTAGCTGTGCTGTCTCATTGGTCAAATGGCAAGCAAACAGTAGCCAGTTGCGTGGCTGCACCTTGTAAGCGAACCTCATGAAGAGCAGTGAATAGCAGGAAAGAGCTGAGAGGAGGGAGAAAACACATAGGGAATAGTTTTTATTACAGCAGAGTCTTCTCAGTAACCGCTTACTGCTGGACACTTCTTACTACTGCTCCACTTCTACTACTACATGCAACATAATGTCACCTAACTTAATTTCACACAAGAAAATAGATTATAGACTAACAGTACAAAGGTTTCATATATGGCTATCAGGAGAAGGAGAAAAATGGACAGCGCAATTGCAGTTTACTTCAAATAATCTCTTATTTCCCAGTAACCTTGAAAGTAAAAATTATAATTATAAACTTAACCCTTGTGCCCTGCATGTGCACATCTGGGTCAGATCAGATCAGTACATGTGTCTCTGTGTGTGTGTATTACCGAAGGTCATCCTGCCACTGATGATCTCAGGGCTCTTCTTCATATCTGTGAGGGCGGCTATAGGAAGACCCCAGTTTGCCACAGGACCCCAGAAATGCTGACACATACACACAAAGGGACAAAATATATTTTATTAGTATTGTGAATTCCATAATAAAGGATAGCCAACACACACTCTCAGGCAAATAATTGGTATGACTATATTGTACAGCACAAACGATTAAAGACAAACAAATTGAGACACAGACAGAAACAGACAGATGAATAAGTACTTACTGTGCTGTTGAATGTTTTCAGGGCCACATAGAAGAGAAGAGAACATCAATACAGATAAGTTAGACTGATATGAGCTAGGTCACAATAGTTACTGCAACCTAAAATACATCATGTGGTTGTTTCAGGCAATTCACAAATGACGAGAGGACTAGTACAATGTTAAGAACACAGGATCCACATTGCTTAATTGGGTTATAATAAATAAGGTCACATTTCAGTACCTCGATGAAAACATTTGAAACAAATGTGTCTTTTCTACGCACTGACAACAAAACACACCACCAAACAGACCCTTGTTTTGTCAGAAAGCCAAAGACACATCAGAAATGGTGCAAACGGTAAGATAAACCATCATAATGTGTCCCTCACCTACATCTAAAGTGCCTTTGTTTGACTTTCAGTTGAATTTCCAAACATTACAGATCATAGCTCCTCAAATATAAGACAGAGATAACAATTGTTATCTGTGACAAACGTAAGCAAACATGGCCTCTCGCGTCACTGTGTTATAATTTAACCTTTGCTCTGAATTGTAAGCATGTAGCCAGTCTGTTGCAAGTACACACACCACCAGAGCATTGTGTACACACTAACCTAAGTCCTGACACCTTGTCAGAAAGTAATGAAAGCAGTTCTCTCTGTCTGTCTTTGTTCTTAAAGCCATATTTGACACTGGCCACATAGAGGCAAAGAAAGAAGCTCCATGCAAGTCAATTAGAGCTTCTTACAAGTTATGACCCACTTAGGCTTACTTATTGTTTTCTGTGTGTTTCTACAGCAACTCACAACATATCCCTCCACAGGGGACTATATTTTAGTTTGGATAATGTTTTACAAACGACTCCATCCCTCCAATTACAGCCAGACTCTTGAAGTGGAGGAACAGCTTGGCTAACTGAGTGCTACCGACGAGGGCTACAGAAAGCACAGTCGTCCTTGAAAACTAGCGTTAGCAGAGAAAAACCACGCCAATGCTACAGATAGTAACACACACACTGTTATACATGTATCATGGGATTTTATTTTAAAACCCTGGCTGGACAGATCAGGACGTTAAATTCAGCCGGCGGGTGAATGTTATCCAGCTGTAACCTAATGACTCGACAAGCTAGCTACTTTAGCATACGAGCTAACAGATTATAATATAGCTAGTAGCTTCCTTATACATACCTCATCAAATATTCCCTGAACTCTTTGCTCTTCAGGTGGTCAATAGCTTTCCGTGCAATTGTCCCTGCCATGGTTTAACGATAGGATGGAGTCTGTTTTGGCCGAGAAAAGCACTCTTTCTGTGTTGAAGGGCGACTGACAGCTTAGCTCCGAGGACGACTGGTCAAATTCCCAACCACAACATTGGCGCTTTACGACACTGTCGCAACTACAGCGCAACCTCAGACGGCCGCCTCTGTGTAGGAATCATTAAATAGATAAGAGTTATAAATCTGTTAAGCAGGTGTGTGAATAAAGGAGTCCATGTTGCTAATGAGTCCCTGCTTCAAAGAGAGAAGTACAACAGTACAAAAACACAACAAAACGTCGTGCACACTCTGTATAGGCCATTAAGTATAGGCTACATTTAATCTGTTAATGTTGTTTTCTCAGCTGTTGTTTTTCTCATTTTATTCCTTTGATGCACATGCAAACCCCTTCTAAATCACAACATGGGTCAAAATGACCCGTATTCCTATGTTATTTCATGCATGGCTGACTTTTTCTTTGCTTTATCTTTGGAAATGAGTTTATTTCATCATTTAGTATTCTAAATATTCATTAAATATCTCGTTTGTGATTACCATTTTAGATTTTTCCCTTGTTACTTTATGAATAAAGTAAGTAACAGTTTTTGTATTTCTACATGTTAAGACACATTACCCATGTAGGCTACGCAAATTCGATAAAAAAAACAAAACAAAAAAAACAATCCCGTAAATTTCCACAGTGAATTGTTTGTAGAAATTTAAAGTAAAAAAGTAAAATAAAAATACGGATATTATGGTAATCAAAGGGTCCGTGTATGTTTTGGTCATTGGTTTTTCCTTTCAGAAACGGGTATTAAAAAACAGAAAACGAGTGGTTATTTGATTTTCCTTTTAAAATACAAAAATTAAAATTGAAATACAAGGCGTTTTTCTTTTTCATGGTCA